CCGCTGCCACACGCCCTGCTCCGCCCGCCCGGCCGGCCGCGGGCTGCGCGCTCCGGGCTCGCCTTCCTGCTGCTCCTTTCCACCCCCTCCTTTCCCTTCCCGGCTGTTTGGCAGGAGGGCTGTGCGTGGCCGGCGGGCCCGGAGGTGGGTCTGGGCTCGGTGGATTGGGTTTGAGCGGTGTTGGAGCGCTGGGTGGGCTCGGATGGAGCGTGGTGGCTCTGGGGAGCGGCGGCGCAGGGAAGTGATGCCCGAGGGAAGGGCTGGAGCTGTGGCAGGGGTGGATGTTTGGGAAAGGTTCTTACCCCAGAGGGTGCCGGGGCATTGCCGGGGAATGGGCACGGCCCTGAAGCTGCCAGAGCCCCAGGAGCGTTTGGACAGCGCTCCAGGAGTGCCCAAAGTGGGATTTTGGAGCGGCTGTGCAAGGCCAGGAGCTGAACTGGATGATCCTTGCGAGTCCTTCCCAGCTCAGGATATTCTGTGAGTCCCTTGTGTCTCAAAGGAGGTGGCAAAAGAGTGAACTCGTGATTTGTCTTTATAGCAAAGGTGTGAGGTTTCCCACAGTGTTCTTCTGATGCTCTGGAATTTCTTCATTCTCAAGTACTGGTTGTGGTTTTATTCCCAGTGAGCCTGTATTAAATACAAATCAATTGTGGCTATGATGCATCTATACGTTTAGAGATGGCAGCATTGGTATTTAAGTAATACCTCTCATCTGCAGAATTTAAAAAATATAAATGCAACCCAGGACTGCTTTGCTAAGTAGGGGAGTGGCTCAGTGATGGGTGAGCTGCCCAAATTATTGGTGATGTGACTCTGCTGCTTGAGAGGACACTTCAGTGTTGGTCATTCAGCTCTGGAGATTTGCTCCAGGTAAGGAAAGGGTGCTGTCTTTAAAAGCAGAGCCTCTGGGCTTGCTGGAACTAAGCATTTTTACAAAAATAATTAAAATAAAACACCTCTGTCTAGTCCTGCAGCGTTGTGAGAGGTCTGCCTGGTCTCAGGCTCAGCTGGCAGGCTCTGCTCTGCAGGAAAACTGAAGCACCAAAGTCCAGCAGATTGTTGGGAGCACAAAACCTGCAATGTGGCAGGATAGATGCAGCAGTCTCTTATCTCTATTATTTAATAGCCCTTCCAGGGGAAAAAAAGGTAAATATTCAATGGTTGCTATATTGTATTGCTCTGCTAACTAGAGAACTCTGCCAATAGATTTAAATCCATTAATAAATTAATGCTGGAATGAAATTTTTGCTGCCTGTCTTAGTTGTTTTTTGGTAAAATGGAAGCCTGGTGAAAGATTCTTCATCAGAGTGAGGTTTAGTGGTGGGAGAGTTTCCCTCTAGTCAGGGTTCTTGGAATTAACTGGTGATGTCTGCTGGTTTCTGGTGAAAATGTGTGCACCTAAAGCAGTGAACTTCATAAAATCCATCCTATATCCCAAGTTTTTATGCCACTTGTTGAGAAAATTGACCTAAGGCTGAGTCTGGCTGTTGAAATCAGTTATTTAAAATTCAGTAGTAATAAAACCCTGGTATTTACAGGCTTCATGTGCTGGCACTGAGAACCAGGTACTTCCTGCACTATTCCATCGCTCCTGGGTGGATAATGATGGGGTTTTCAGTGTTGTTAGAAAAAGGCAAGCAGTAAAAACTAAAGGAACTTGAAATTACTGAACTTCTGCATCTCTCCTGAAGTTCTGCAGAAAAAGCTGGGGCTGCTTATGGGATAAAATAAAATACTTTGAGCCACTATTTTTTAAAAAAATATAATATATATTTAAAAAAATATATGTGTATACACAATATACATATTATATTTTTATAGATATATATATATATCATCAATTAATATGTTTTAAGTCAGAATTTTTGACTTCTGGTGCAGCCTTTCATCTGCTTTTTCTCACTGGTCACTTGCTGGTCCTCTCCTGCAGGCTTTGCAGATGGAGATTTTGTGGACAGGGTTTTTTAGTCATTCATTTTAAGCTTAAAACCAGTTATTAATTTATCTCAGGGCTTCAAGGCTTCCCATCCTTTTTCTGGATTTGAATCCCAGCCTGGTGTTGGTGCTACAGTGGAAGGGTGAAATTTTACTTGCAGGAAAAAAGGTATCTCTTAAATATAACTTGTGTGCCAGTGTTGTAATGGGCAATGTAAAATAGAAATATTGTGATTGTGGAAAAGCTTCCATGGGATTGCAGGAGAGCAACAGTTCCTTGGGGATTGGCACTTAATAAAATTGAGTGGTTGGTGCTGTGTGGTTCAGAGATGGATGAATTAAAAGAGGTGGAGGTGCAAGAAAATTCAAAATATCAAGGTGAGGGAGCGAGCTGGGTGTTTGGGTTTGGTTCCCCTCCTGCATCATTTCTGTGGTAACATCTCAATTAGAGTCAAATAGAGAAGGAGCACAAAACTGATTTAATTACTGCTGCAGAAATCCTTTAATTGTTTGATGGAGTTCCAAGTGGTGTGGATCCCTGAAAATCCTGCAGAGCCTGACTCTGAGGGACCCTCTCAGTGGTGAGTCCTGAGCCCAGTTTTTCCCCAGATTAACCCCAAAAACTCAGGTTTAGGTCCCTGAGTGTCACCAGGTGCCCTGTGCCACCTTCTGGTGGTGGTTTTAAATCAGTGCTCATGGAAAGCCCAAATCCAGCACTGCACATTTGCTTTGCACAGCTCTGAAAATCCCTGCAGGAAACACTTCTGGCTGGAACATGTATTTTCTGTGTATAAAAAAAGCAACAAAAAGTGCTTTTAATGGCAATATTTGTTGATAATTTTGGTCTCAAAAGGGGACACCTTTACCTGAAAGTGAAACCCGAGTACTGAGCCAGCCCTGAGGGGCAGGGAGGGGCTGGAGCTTTGCTCAGAAATGCTGAGGGTTGTGGTGAAAAAACCATCCAGAAATCTCAATAACCATTTAACCTCCTTGCCTTTGTTCTATTGGATTGAGGGTAGGTGATTGTCATTTGACCTAAACATTCCTTTTCAGTGCCTGGATTTTTTGAAGACTCCTTTTAGCATTGCTTTTCAGGATTATGTGTCATGGTTTTTTGTTGTTTTATTTTTTTTTTAAATGTGGATTTTATCAATGTTTTTTAATGCTTGTACAAATATCTGGGAACCTTACATTCCCTTTAAAAAAAAAACTTCTCTCCCTGACTGTAGGGCTGTGCTGATGTTGGTTTAAAGGCTGAGGGTTTAGGGACTAAATTGAAGATGAGGTATGAAATCCTTTCTCAGTTTTATAGGCATTTAGTGATCCTTTGACATGTTGATGTTGCTTTTCATAACTCCAAAATTGCACTTTGGCAGGCATCAAGTTGCAATTTCTGAGCTGTTGTTAAATTACTGGAGAATTCCTTTGCTGAGTGCTTCCATCCTAAAATGTCAGTGAGTTAGTGTTTATTCCAAAAATATTGGACTGACAGCTGTTCTTAAAAACTTGTGCTGTTCAACCCCTCTCTTTGAACTTTTACCATGCACACTTGGTGTTAATCTGAATTAGCAAGGAAATGAAATTCAAATTTCAGTTTATAATTTAAACCAGGCTGAACGATTCCCATCCCAGCCTATCCCATGCCTGTCTTTTTACGCTCAGCCTAAGTGGATTTACCAGAGAGTTTATTTTTATGTCTTGCCTTAACATCTCCCAGCAAAGAGAAGCTCTTCACTGCCACCACCAGCTCCTTTTTCCTGGCTCTTAACTCCAGTGATGTTGCAGGGAAGTGTTTTTATCACCTTGGTGTAGTAAACACCACGAGCTCTCTTTGCACACCCGCAGTTCTCATTGCTGCTGACTAAACTTCTAAATAAAGCTCTAAAAATAAAACTTGGCTGGGCTAAAAGAGGGTGCCAGCAGCAGGTTGGTTCTTCCTGACCCTCTGAGCTTCTTTGGTGCTGTTAAAGATTTTTATCAGTTTTTTTAATCTTGGGTGATCTCAGGGCAGAGATTCCTTCTTTATTCCACCCTTCTTGCCCTGCCAGATAAGAAAATGCCCATAAGAAAATGCAAGGGAACAGCTTTGCTTTTGGTTTCTTCTGAAACAATGATTTTTAAGTTATTATTTTTAAATACAAATGGCACTTTCTTTTCACCATGTGAGGAAAACTGAGCAGGGTTTAGTCCCTGGCTGAAAAGCCAGAGATTGGTGCTTGGGGAAAAGATGTTTGCTATAAGAATGATATTTTTGTTAAAGGATATTTTTTTGTTAATTTTTTGGTTAGTTTTTTGTTATTTTTTATTAATTTTTTGTTATTCCTTGTTATTCCTTGTTATTCCTTGTTATTCCTTGTTATTCCTTGTTATTCCTTGTTATTCCTTGTTATTCCTTGTTATTCCTTGTTATTCCTTGTTATTTTTTTGGTTTTTGTTATTTTTTATTATTTCTTGTTATTTTAATTTTTGTTAATTCTTTTTTGTTAATTGTTTTGTTAATGTTTTTATCATGGTTTTTGTTATTTTTTATTATTTCTTGTTATTTTAATTTTTGTTAATTCTTTTTTGTTAATTGTTTTGTTAATGTTTTTATCAATTCTGCAGCTGCCACTTCCACATTTCCAGAACCTGATTTAACCTGTCTCTGAAGGAAGCAAGGTGGAAAAACTGCCATTTCCATCTTGTTTAGTAGCTCAGTGAAGTCTAAAAGTGTTGTTTATACGTGGAAATTCTATTTTTTCCACCCTATTTATGCTTTCACAGGAAAAAACCCAATACTTTATACATGAAATCAGATTTATTTAATAACTTAATTGCTCTTCTGATGCTTATCAGAATAAAATCCGTATTTTTCACTCATGAGATGGGTCAGGATGCAACCTTCAGGAAGGCTCCTTGTTGGAATAGGAATGTAAATCCAAATTTTCCAATAATTGTGTCCCTGAACTGGTATTTTACCCCACTCAGACTGGGAGGGAGTGACCAGTGCAATTGTACTTTGTTCCACTCACATGTGCTCCAAAGCTTGGCTGGGATTCAACCTGTACAAATCTTAGCATTCATTTGCCTTTTTGGGGTGTTTTTTGAGGGTTTGGTTTAATTTTTGGGGTTTTTTTTTTGATTTCTTTTAGAGATCTGGGTTAAATAAAACAATTTTGCATCCTTCTGTAAGCCATGAATTAGAGGTGCTTGTACAGGAGAGCAACTTAAATTTGATTTCAGATGGATCAGCAGTGATGGCTTTGAGGTGTCTTTGAACTGACCAGGTTTATCAGCAATTAATTAGTGATAATGAATTAATTGACAGCTAATACAGCTCAGTTTGGGGAGCTCAGTGTGAATTGTGCTGAGAGCAGGAGAGGGAAGGGAGGAGAAGGAAGGATCCATGTGCTGGGTGGAGTTTTCCAGCTGTGGAACTGAGCTCAAAATCAGATTTATCCTTGGCTTTAGGCCAAAAGGATTGGAAAAAAAGGTTCTGTGGGAATATCTCTAATTCCAGCTCCTCCCAGCCCCTGTCAGTCCTTCCAGGAGATGTTTGGAGTCCGAGTTTGAGGCATTATCAGCTGAAATTTAATTGAATTATTCCCTGTCCTGATTCCCTCTGGTTGCTGTTTTACAGGGAAGTTAATTTGTCAATAAAACAGTTGGGATTTGATTGACAGGATGCTGATAAAATAACCAACAATTCCATTTTGGAGGTTTCTGTAAGTTCAAGAAGCAAATTTGATTTTGTTGACATCCAGACGAGTGTAACTCGTTCAGAAAGCTCCTGGAAACCCCAGTGAAAATTTTAAATGCTTTAAAAACAAGGATCACATGGGAAAATAAAAATTGGAGGAGAAGGTGAGCTGTGAGAAGCAGAAATTCCAAAAGGAGCAGTTCAGAAACATTTGATTCATAATCTTTGTGTATTTATCAAAAATAACATTCAGATTCTGAGAGTGTAATCCAGACTGTTGTAAAACCTCCTCAGGAAAATGCTGTTTATGCTTTAATATACTTAATTATGAATGAATTCAGCCTTTGAATTATCAAAGTTTCCCTGGGATGTTTTTCCTGGGATGCTACAAATCCAGCACTGGAAGCAAGGACGTGGCTCCTTTTATTCCTTGAAGCTTTTGTAGCTCTGAAATGATGAATTCCTAATTTTTTTTTTCTTCTTTTTAACAGGAACAGGAAGGTGGTCGATTACTCCCAGTTTCAGGAATCAGATGATGCTGGTAAATGATTTTTTTTTCCTTACTCTCCTTGGGCAGGAGCAGCTCATTATTGCCATGCATATTAATTTTTCTGCTTCTAATCACATCTTCAGCTCCAATTCTAAGGAGTTTCTGTTCTTCACAGCCTGAACTGTTAATAAGTATTTAAAAATATAATGATTCTCATCTGTTTTGTATTAAACAAACAATGGTGATAGAAATCTTATTATTTAATGCTGGGTATTGTTGTAGTGCCTTGAGGCTGTTGGCAGCAATGCCTTCCTTGCTCTGTGTTATTTTCTTGGGCAGAGGCTCCTTGATGCCACTTTTTTCCACAAGAAAAGATGTTTTCCATTTATTTTATGGCTCCAGTTGAGCCCACATTATCAGGCATTTGGAGGGGATTGCAGTTAAAAGAAAAAGCATAATCTGTGTGAATTAACAAAATATTGGTGGATCACTTTTAGAAAAAATGTAATCTCTGAATTAACAGAACATTCCTAAAAAAATATAATCTGTGTGAATTAACAGAAAATTTGTGGAATGTGATTTGAGTTAGAAGATGAACTCAATGCTAGGGTTAATTAAAATGAGACAAATATGAATAATTCTTAATTAGAATTCTTTTATTCATTAAATAAGGTGTTGTCTAAGAGTTGTAAGGAGTTCTGTAAACTATTTAATGACATCCTTTATCCCATCACAGGACAGTAAATAGTGTGTGCTGTCAGAATCATGCAGAAATCCATATGGATGTGAATTTTTAATAGGTTTATATAATACTTAAATATAAAATGAGATCCTGTGTCCTCTTGGGAGGTTTTTTGTGTTTCCCTGGGTGATGTACAGAGCATTTTCATGGGGCTGATGGCAGAAAAAAAAGGTAAAATCAGTGTTTTAAACCAGGACTTGGCTTCCACCAAAGCTTTTTTTAAGCTTTGTGATGTTTTTCTTTTTGGTGTGGGTGGAATGATCAGTTTGAGTTGTAGCTGAGGAGAGAGCTTTGCTGGGAATGAGTTTGATTCAATCCCATTTTGTCCCGTCCAGATGACGATTATGGAAGAGATTCAGGTCCCCCGTCCAAGAAAATCCGTTCGTCTCCCCGAGAGGCCAAAAACAAGAGGAGATCTGGGAAGAATTCTCAGGAGGACAGGTAAAAATCAGCTTTTCATCTCTTGGGAACATTTCCCAGAGCCTTGTCCTGTGTGTGGGGAGCAGCATTTTCCAACTGCAGCTGGAATCCCAGCGAGCTTGGGCTGAGACACTGAGGTGCTTTGTTCCTGATGGGAATAGACAGAGAAATCAGGTGTGAAACACTTGTCAGTAGTGCTCCATCATTCCAGCAGCTCCAGAGGCAGCTGCAATGGCAGGGAATGTGATCCAGGCAGGAGGATTGGCAACTGCTGCACGCTCAGCTGAGGCAGGGCGAGCTGCAGCTCCCGTCCCCTGTGCTGTCAGGGATGGGGTGGCACCGAGGGCAGGGGATGTTTGGGAGTTCTGTGGCTCTTTCTTCCTTCTGGATAATCCATAAACACAGAACTTGGTTTGGGAGCTGAGCTGCTTTTCCTACTGAAAAGGAAAATTTTCTGTTTTGCAGTCCCCAAATGATTGCTGTGAGACCTTAGAAATAATTTATTTCATTTTCACGACAGATTTCGGCTTCAGGGATGGAGGTTCTGCCAGCTGGTTCTTGTCCTATCACCCCAAAATGTCTTTTATTTTCCAAATCAACCAAATTATCAGATCATTTGGGAAAGCTTAGGTCAGGCATGTGCCACTTAAGAGCAGCATGCACAGAATGGAATCTAAACAATGACATAAAGACAAGTGCTGTCTAAAAATCTACCTTTATTTCATTTATAGACCACATATAAACCATCAGAATTGTAACTAAAATGGAAGCTGTGTGGACTGTGGGTTGGTTCACCTCAATCTCATTATTTCCTGCCTGGTTTTAGTTCAGCTGTGATTCAGAGTTTTGAACATTATCATCCCAACCATGATAACTCCACAGACAGCTGAGTAATCCTGAAAGTACATCCAGGAAAAGTGCAAATTCTCAGCCTAGACATCAGTTTGCTCTTTAAAAACTGTTAATTTCCACACGAGAGTGACTGAAATCAAAGTTGAGGCAAGCACTCAGACTTTATCTCTCTCTCATTTGCAGTGAGGATTCAGAAGACAAAGATGTGAAGACTAAGAAAGATGATTCACACTCAGCAGGTAACTGATAGCATTGTGTATCTTTAAACTGTGTCTCCTCACACCTGTGAGAGTTGCAGGAGTAGAGTTTGAGAGAGAAAAGAAATAATTCTGATTTATTTTGAGTCAGATGCTGCCTCTGCTGCTGTTACTTCCCATCCTGGTTTGGGATAATGTCTTTTTTCTTGTGTAATGTGATGGTCCTATCAAATTTGTCCTCACAAGTGGATAGATCTGGTGATCCCTGCAGCTTTTATCCAAAATGAGACGAGAAACTTCACCTTGGTGCCTTTTCCTCGCAGATGAAGATTTTGGCAGTGAGGATGATGACGTAGGAGCTGACGATGGCAAAGCCGACAGCGACTACGAGAGCTCCCAAAAAAGCAAAAAAGGAAAGAAGGCTAAACCAGACAAGAATAAGAGAGCAGCCTCCAAATCCAGGAAAAGGCCTGCAGGTAAAAAAATAAAGAGAGGAAAAAAAAAAAAGTGGTTATTTTGCAGTGAAAATACAACAGAGGAGCTTTGTTGGGTGAGCAGGGAAGGAGTTGAATTGTTGTCACAGTAACTCAGTGAGTGTTTGAACCCTCTCATGTTTTAACCCCTGCCTCGAGGCTCTGTACTCACCACACTTTGGGGCATTTTGCTGCAGAGGACAGCGAGGATGAGAAGGAAGATCACAAAAACGTCCGTCAGCAGCGGCAGGCGGCGTCCAAAGCAGCCTCCAAACAGCGGGAGATGCTCATGGATGATGTGGGCAGTGAGGAGGAAGAGCAAGAGGATGATGAGGCACAGTTCCAGGAGAGTGAGTAAACGGGATTGGGAAAAAGGGACACGGTTTGCTTTTTGGCTGGGGCAATCAGAACATAAATTGTGCTCCTCAGTAACTTCATTTTTACCGTGTATCTGTCCAAGTTGGGTTTTCACAGCTGGAATTTGTGTTCCAAGTTTGCAGCAAAGGTTTGTGTGTGTCTACAGAATTTGTCTTCACAAATGGATGGATCTGTTGTTCTGATCCCTGCAGTTTTTATCCAGAATGAGACAAGAAACTTCATCTTGGTGCCTTTTCCTTGCAGATGAAGAGTTGTTTTTTCCCCAAAATCTGCTTCCCAGAGATGTGTGTGTGTGTTTCCCAAAGATGTGTCTCTGTGTTTCCCAAAGATGTGTGTCTCTGTGTTTCCCAAAGATCTATTTTCATTGTAAGCAGCCCTAAAAGATAATTACAAAGTTCTCAATGCTTGTTTTCGCTGCTTCTTGCTGTCCCTGTGGCATTGCTGATTTTAAAAAAATCCCAGTCAGATTTTGTGCCACAGCAGATAAATGGAAGCCCACAAGGTCTCAGAGTTTGTGTGCTAAATTTAACTGGCAGATCTCAGCTTTTCCTTCCTTTTTTCTTCTTTTTTCCCCCCCAAAACATTGGAATTTCCTTACGCTTCCAGCAGATTCAGGAAGCGATGAAGACTTCCTCATGGAAGATGATGATGACAGTGACTATGGCAGTTCAAAAAAGAAAAATAAGAAGGTCTCCAAGAAATCCAAGCCAGAGAGGAAAGAAAAGAAAATGCCCAAGCCCAGGCTAAAGGCTACAGGTGAGTCTGTGCAGTGAAAGTTTCTCAGTTTAAAACCTAGGTTTTATTTTTGCTGCAGAAGGCTTGGTAAAAATCTTGGGGGTCACAGACACCCACAAAAATGTTGAAGAGCCAAAACCAGCACGATTTAAAGCACAGCAGTATGGAATAATGAGCTGGATTTAATTCTTCCTTTAGGGCTTGAATTGATCTTGATGGTAAAAATGTGATAGTATTGAAAACCTTCCCGGCTGAGGTGCTGCATTCTGACTTGGTGACAAATAATAACAATTTGTGGCTTTGTTTGGGACTTTGTGATGGTGTCAGGGTAGGGAAACATGAAGCAAAAGTGAACTGGATGCATTTCTGCAGGGAGTTTCAAATGAGAACAGCAGTGTGAGTTCTGCTTTGACAAGGGCTGTGTCCCTTTACGATGTCACATCCAGCAATTAGCCAGGACTTGTAATTAAACAGCTTTTAAATCTCGTTAGTTCGCTCTTCACCTCAGCTTTGCTAATTGGGAGTGCTAAAAACACCGTGGGTATGGTCAAACTGCTGCTGAATGACTTCAAATCCCATTTACTGTGATTTTTTTTTGCTGCTGCTGAGTTTTACAAGGTTTTTCTTTTTCCAGTGACCCCCAGCCCAGTGAAAGGCAAAGGGAAGGCAGGTCGCCCCACAGCTTCCAAGGCAACAAAAGAAAAGACCCCATCCCCCAAAGAAGAGGATGAAGAGCCTGAAAGTCCCCCAGAAAAGAAAAAATCAGCCAGCCCTCCACCAGAAAAGTCAGGGGATGAGGGATCTGAAGATGAAGCACCCTCTGGTGAAGATTAAAAATGGCAGTTGAGGAAAATCTTTGTTTAAAAAAAAAAAGAGGAAAAAAAAAAAAAGAAAAAGGAAAAGAAAACAATACTTAGGGGTAGAACACGGTTTTGGCTGTGGCTTGACTCATGGGCTTTGAATGCTGTCTTTACTTTCAGCTGTTTAATACAGTGTGTCCTTTTTTAATAAGAGGAAACCCTTCTACAGTAATATTTTGAAGTCAATGTTCTCTGTTGGCCATTCCGTTCTCCCTCCCCTGCCAAATCTGAAAAGCCATTTGAGACAAATTTAACAGACCATTCAATATTTCATGTTTTTTTTTTTCAAGGAATACTGCAGTTGTGAAGCAATAAGGTTTGAGACTGATCTGTGGAAACCATACTTACAAAAATCCTTAAGTAGAATAGATTTTTCCCAGTGCTGGTAAGAGCTGTTTAAAACTATTATCCTGTATTTGGAATATATGGAAAAAATAATAACGAAACTCTGCTTTAATAGACTTTGAGATGAGTTCACTCACAGCAAAAAAATGTAGTTGATCTAATTCCAGTGGAGGAGGATGGAACACGGGGAGGAATCCTGTGTTTCTTGGATTCAGGCACATTTTTCATGGAAAGCAATCAAGAGATGCTCCAGTGTCTTTGATTTAGAAAAGACCCTCCAGTCAGGATGGGAGATCTTTTGTCTCTGCTGGATAGGAAACTGTTCTGCTGTAGGCAAATTGCAGCTCATTCCATATAAATTCACATACTCAACCTACAGCCCTCCCATGTCCATTCACCCTTATTTTATTCCTTCTGTAGAGGGGCAGAACAGGGAAGAGAAATTGCAAAATCATTTTTAAAACTGCTTTCCTTTGGGTATGGTGGAAACTGTTTTTATTACAGGTTTTTTTCCAAGGCAAAAACAAATTAATGAATAATGTAAAATTAAATTCTTCAGCTTCTGGGGCGAGGGATGTCCTGTTGTGGCTGTGAGGAAAGGATTCCTGTGGTGCTCTGGTCACTGGAGATCCTGTGGGTCAGCCTGGAGTGTTTCTCTTCCCTTCCCCTGCCCTCAGCAGAGCTCCAGGGATCCCTGGCAGAGGGGGCACAGCGGGCACGGAGCAGCTCCGGGGCCTCATCCCTGTCCCCACCCTGGGATCTGTGGGGTCAGCTCCCCATCCTGCCTGTGGGATCTGTGGGGTCAGCTCCCCATCCTTCCTCTGGGATCTGTGGGGTCAGCTCCCCATCCTGCCTGTGGGGTCTGTGGGGTCTGTGGGATCAGCTCCTCATCCTGCCTGTGGGATCTGTGGGATCAGCTCCCCATCCTGCCTGTGGGGTCTGTGGGATCAGCTCCCCATCCTGTCTGTGGGATCAGCTCCCCATCCTGTCTGTGGGATCAGCTCCCCATCCTGCCTGTGGGGTCTGTGGGATCTGTGGGGTCAGCTCCCCATCCTGCCTGTGGGATCTGTGGGATCAGCTCCCCATCCTGCCTCTGGGATCTGTGAGATCAGCTCCTCATCCTGCCTCGTGGGATCTGTGGGGTCAGCTCCCCATCCTGCCTGTGGGATCTGTGGGATCAGCTCCCCATCCTTCCTCTGGGATCTGTGAGATCAGCTTCTCATCCTGCTCGTGGGATCTGTGGGATCAGCTCCCCATCCTGCCTGTGGGATCTGTGGGATCAGCTCCCCATCCTGCCTGTGGGGTCTGTGGAATCAGCTCCTCATCCTGCCTCTGGGATCTGTGGGATCAGCAGCTCCCCATCCTGCCTGTGGGGTCTGTGGGATCTGTGGGATCAGCTCCCTATCCTGCCTCTGGGATCTGTGGGGTCAGCTCCCCATCCTGCCTGTGGGATCTGTGGGATCAGCAGCTCCCCATCCTTTCTGTGGGATCAGCTCCCCATCCTATCTGTGGGATCAGCTCCCTATCCTGCCTCTGGGATCTGTGGGATCAGCTCCCTATCCTGCCTGTGGGATCTGTGGGATCAGCTCCTCATCCTGCTTGTGGGATCTGTGGGATCAGCTCTCATCCTACATGTGGGATCTGTGGGATCAGTTTCCATCCTGCCTGTGGGATCTGTGGGATCAGCTCCCCATCCTGTGGGATCAGCTCCTCCCCTCCTTCCTGTGGGATCTGTGGGATCAGTTTCCATCCTGCCAGTGGGATCAGCTCCCCTCCTCCCTCTGGGATCTGTGGGATCAGCTCCCCCTCCTCCCTCTGGGATCTGTGGGATCAGCTCCCCTCCTCCCTCTGGGATCTGTGGGATCTGTGGGATCCTGCTCTGCCCCCTGAGCTGGGTGTGCCGTGTGGGGCACTGTGGCTGGAGTTGGGATTTCCCTGTCAGAGCAGGACACTCGAGGCGTGTGCTGGCATTTTAATGTGCTTTTATCCAAGCAGCCATAT